ATGTTCCTGATCAACAAAGCATCATACAATCGATTTTAGCAGTCACAGTGGCAGTTCATAAAAACCTCTCTATACATGATTAGAGTCAACGATTATATTGGACATTTAAATGTATGTTGGCACTATCTGCCTAAAGACAGAAAAGACATAAGCCAGGCATCTGGAAAAAGAGGTCTGTGAGATCCTGGCAACTTCTCCCCTAACCTGCAGGTAGGCAGGCAGCATTAGAAAAAAATTGAAGGGTGGGAAAAAACATAAAAACTATGCCCTTTTTGTAATTCCAAATGCTGAGCAATGTCATTATACAGGGATAAAAAAAAAAATATCTTGTAAGGCAAAATTTGTTCAACACATTTTTCTCTAGGAGTTTAATCAGAATGGTACCAAAAATAAAAAATAACGGAGCAGCATTTCTGTGAATGGAATTGACTTGTTAATGAGAGAGATCAGAGGAGAATGGTGTAAGCTGACAGTCACTGAATAACTTCATTCTTTACAACTGTGGTGAACAGAAAATCTCAGCACCCATAACATGTCCAACCTTGATGTGGATGGGCTACAATAACAAACATCATGTCAGGTTTCACTCCAATTAGCCAAGCACAGAAAGCTGAGCACAGGCTCACCAAAACTGGTCAGTTAAAGACAACAAAAAGTAGATTTCCAGACCCGGCTACATTTTTACAATAGGCATAGAAATGTCAAACAAGGATCTGAATTCAACATAACATTCTTGGGATGTGGCAAAATCAGAGATTTGAAGCATGAATGTGAAGCTTACAATAATAAATTGTTCAGTAAGTGTATATTACAAGGGTCTGCTATATTAGTCCTATCAGCACCAAAGAGAAAGCACTGAAATGACCAAAGAATGTGTATAGTTGTGGCCAAAAGTTTTGACAATGACAAATATTAAATTTTCACAAAGTCTGCTGCTTCAGTTTTTATGATGGCAAATTGCATATTCTCCAGAATGTTGTCAAGAGTGATCAGATCAATTAATTGCAAAGTCCCTCTTTGCTATGACAATGAACTTAATCCCCCCAAAAAAATTACCACTGCATTTCAGCCCTGTCACAAAAGGACCAGCTGACATCATGTCAGTGATTCTCTCGTTAACACAGGTGTCAGTGTTGACGAGGACAAAGCTGGAGACTACTCTGTCATGCTGATTGAGTTAAGGTGACCATACACCTTACGATTATCGGACAAAACTTTTCGTCCGATAATCGAATAGTCGTACGATTTTCGTACGGCAGCCCCATCCTGCCCTGATGATCGCAAGATTAATTTAGCCGTAATTAACGAAAAGCACCTGGACAAAATGCGGTAATTGATTTGCCGTATTTTCCTTAGCGCAAGCGCAGTGTAGATCGTACGACTTTTGACGGACGGAAACGCCAGCAACCTTACGTCAATCGTACGATCTAGCAAAGTTTTCAAACATGCTTGACCGTCAAAAGTCGTACGATTGTACAGCATTGTCGGTCGGACACTGCAATGCACACATATGATTATCGCCGAAAATCGTACGATAATCATAAGGTATATGGGCACCTTTAGAATAACAGACTGGAAGCTTTAAGAGGAGGGTGGTGCTTGGAATCATTGCTCTTCCTTTATTAACCATGGTTACCTGCAAGGAAACACGTGCAATCACCATTGCTTTGCACAAAAAGGGATTCACAGGCAAGGATATTGCTGCTACTAAGATTTGTCAGAACTATTGAGGCTAAAAAGAATTAAACAACAAGGCCTATACATGCTATTCTACACATGGTAAGATGGCATGCTCAAAGCCATTTTGTACTGTCTGTTAATATAACAGATCTAAATAGAACTTAAGTGTATGAGTTCAGGACAAAAGCTTTATCAGCATGTTTCTTGGAACCTAATCCCACACGTTCCCAGCTAGTAAATTGTGGGGGCATCAGCCATTAACAAGCTACAGACTAGCCATGGAGCTACATTCCCAGGTGGTGAGTTGTGTGGGGAGTATCATCAACAAGATAAGGACTGGCCTTGAGCTAGAGTGTGTTAGAATCACCTGCTTTTGCAAGACAATGAATAGAGTCTTTGATTCATTTTTGTTTTCTTGACTGAGAAAAACTTATTCATTTATTTATATAAGTGCATTATAAAAGTTTGCCTTAGATACAATCATTATTGAAAGAATTTGTATTAGCAATACATTCAATTGTATTTAAATATGATATGAAGCATCTATATA